TATAGATTTATAGGTGTATATGTAGATATATAAATAAATGCTTATAAAAATAAATGCCTCCAGAAAGAGTAGCTGGGTGGCTGGGGGAAGGGAGAGAGAGACTCATTTCGGTTCACTGTACACTTTAGAATTTTATGCCCTGCACATGTCTATTCAAAACTATCTTATTAATTAAAATTAAAGATGTATCAAATTTTAAAATAATATTTTCTTTGGCCAAGCCATAGGCTTCTTCCTGGCAATTACTTGGAGGTAAGACCAAGATTAAAATGTAGGCTAGTGCTTAGGCAATAAAAACAAGAGCTAGGAAGAATTTGGTATGCTGGGGTTCTGAAATTGAGACAAAACCTGAATAAATCCTCTGGTTTCACTTGCTTTTACTTTCTTTCTCTTTTTGACTTTAAAATTCACTAATTTTGGAAGTCACACAGCTAAACAATATGTTGCCTTGTTTACTTTTCAAGGACTTGCAAGCCATTTTTGTTGAAACTACCAACAGTTGACTTGGGCTAGTGTAGGTGGATGGGTCACCTTTTAAGTAATGTCAGAGGGCTGAAAACTCTCTCCTTAGATTATGCTGACACTGCCATTTTCTGAATAGGTGTCCTCTGAAGAGTCAAAATATTGACTATGTATGCCCAGAACACTGATTACCTCACCTACAATCAACTTTCCCCAGACCTTAAACCACCCGCTTCTTCATTCCACAAATATTCCTAAACGCTCCCCTCAGGAAGGCAAATTTGAGACCCGCTCTCCCATCTCCTCAAGTTTGGCTGCTTAGGAAAACTTTTCATCATTTCAGTCACTGACATACTACATGATAGGCAAAACAAGCCTGATTCCCTACCAGTTTGTTTCCCTCCATCCCTGGAAGCCACTTGGTGTGGTCTTTACATCACTCTAATGCACTGGTCCCTAATCCACCTCCCCAAAATGTTAATTAAGATCCCTCTTAGGTCAGAAAGCTTCAAGTTTTTTGTTTCAATGTCCCTTCTGTCCTCTCTCCCTGCTAAGGTAAAGGGCATTATCAAATCAGGTTTACATGCAGGGCTGGTTTTTCACTCAACATTGTAGTTTTAAATGTAAAAAATCACTTCTTCATCTCCCAAACTCTCCTTTACCTGTTCATGTCAAAGTTCACAATTAGTCACAGGTGCTTAAGTTTCAAATGAACTGACTAAAAATATAGACGTGAAAAAATAAAAATTAGTTAACGAATTTCCTCTTTTGACTAGTGAAGGGGCTTGGTGGTTCTCAAAGCCATAGGTATTCCTCCAAAGCAGAGGAGTTGCAGCCATTCAGGGCAGAGCAGTGTCTACAAGGTTGAGGAAAATAGAAACAAATCAGCAATGGCTTGAGTTTGCCTAGCGCTCCCCCTGCTGTTTGTTGAGGGAATCTCCATGTGGATGTGCAGCTGCCTAGAGTTAGCGATGAATTTCTTGTTGAGAGGGTGAGACCTTCTAGGGCATGGTGATGGCTATGTGCAACATTAAGAAGCCTCAAAAGAACAGAGTGACTGCCTCATCCACCAACATTATCACAGCCCCAGGACTCAGGGCACACAGTTTATGGTCTAGAAAGGTTTGTTAAATGAAACATAAGAATGCTAACATGTGCATGTGAATTATTATGCTCTCTGATCATTACCTAAGGCTCTGCAAGTAGGGACGGATCCTCCAGCCTGGCCAAGATTGCTGCAGAGCACAAAGCATAAGCTCTCCCCAAATTTGTGGGTTCATAAGAATCTGGGGAAAATACCTGTAGGCTGGTGCAAAACAGCAAGGCTAGAAGGATCAAGACTTGTGAGCAGAATAAGAGCAAGAATCAATTAAAGAAAACCTAGGGTCAGATCTGGGGCACTCAGGGTCAGGGGCCATGGCCAGTGTGATGGCAAATTTCAGCACTCAATGTGACTGGAATATGGGACACTGGGTAGCTGGTAAAGCATTGTTTCTATATATGTCTGAGAGGATGTTTCTAGGTATTTTCAATCTGAGGAAGACTTGTCCCCAGTGTTGCTCCCACCATCTAATCTGTTGAGGACCTGGAAAGAACAAGAGGGCAGAAAAAAAGATGAATTGCCTCACTTTTCTGGAGCTGAGACAGTTCTCTTGCCTGTGAGCCTCAGAATTCCAGGTTTTCCAGCCTTCAGATTCCAGAACTTGCATCAGTTCCCCGTCCCATCCCATCACCCAACTCCAAGTCTCAGGCCTTTGGCCTCAGACTGTTACACTGTTAGCTTTCCTGATGGCTTAATTAGCTTTTCATTACTGTGACAAAAAAAATTAGCTTTTCTTGCTGACCCAAAAGAACAACATACAGGAGGAAAAGTTTATTTCGGCTCAGTTTCAGAGGTTCAGTCCACAATCAGCCAATTCCCATAGCTCTGGGTTGGAGGTGAGACAAAATGAGGCAAAACATCATGATGAAAGGGCATGGTGAAGAAAAACAGCTCAGGACATGGCAACAAGGAAGCAGAGAGAGCGACTCTCACAAGGGACAAAATATAAACTCCAGAGGCACATCCCCAGTGACTTACTACCTCCAGCCACACCCTCCCTGCCTACAGTTACCACCCAGTCAATCTGTATCAGTGAATTAATCCACTGATTAGGTTAAGGCTTTCATAATTTTACTCATTTTACATCTAAACCCTCCTCATTATCTCACATATGAACTCTTGGGGGACACAGCATATCTAAACCTTAACACTGGTTCTGGGTCCTTTGGACTTAAGACTGAGCCCCTTTACCAGCTTTCATGGTTCTTCAGTTTCAGACAACTTACTGTGAGACTTCTCAGCCTCCAGAATTGCATGAATCAATTCTAATAAATTTCCTCTTACAGAAAGATACAAATGATACATATTACATAACATATATTATATATATCCTATTAGTTTTGTTTTTTCTGGAGAACTCTAAAATACATCCAGGAAGGATCAAACCCAGGAGTTAGGCAGGTTGGCAGATCAAGTGGCTACCAAGTAAGTGCTTCAGACCAAATCAAAGAAGTGGACATGGGCCCTCAACAGGAAGAGATCTTTCAGGAGCCAAAGGTCTAAGGATCTCTAAGACAGTCTTCTGTGGTGATCAAACTGTTCTATATCTGTGCTGTCCAATATGGTTACCCCTAGACACTTGTAGCTGTAGAGCACTTAAAATGTGACAAGTATGACTGAAGACCAGAATCCTTAAGCTTCAATAAATTTTAATTTAAAATAGCCAGCTATGGCTAGTGGCTACTATATTAGACAGAACAAGTAAGAGTTAGAAAAATTTGGGCCTAGGTAGGGAAAGACCCTAGAAAAACAGTGTGGAGATGGCTCAAGATGTTAAGTCTGTGCCAAGCTATAAGTAACCTGAAAATACATCTGTGACATGCCCCAGCAGGAATCACTGTGCCCACACTCTTACAGGTCAGAATGAAGAACTGTCAGGGGTTTGACCCATATGAATGGACACTGAGAAGGTAATTAAACAGAATTAAATACAGTTAAGGAAGAAACATCCATAGAAAAAAGAATGGAGAATGGCTCTGAAACAGAACAAAGTCTTTGAAGAGTCAGGTGCAACTGTTACAGTTAACAATGGCCAAGGGAACAGGCATGTAGCCATCTACCTACCATTGAGTATTTTTCAATGTCTAAGAAATAAGGCTATTTATAATTACTTGTTAAAGTAAGGCATTTCAAACTTTCCTTAAGCTTTTTTAAGTATAACTTAGAAATACTCCATTTGGAAAACTACATTTTAATGATTACTTTCAAGTGATCCTTTTCCTATTGCTTGGAATTATTCATTTAAGTTGCACAAAGTAAATTTCTTCTAACTGTTCCACTTACAAATTCCTTTATACAATTAAAAAATATTTAGATTTAAGAATCTGATTCTCTTTTAAACAGCACTTCCAATGCTTGACCCAACAAGCAAAACCTTCTCAAGTGTTTAACTCTTATAAACATACTAAGTTAAACATATAATGACCTTCTAAGTTCTTCAAAACATTCCAGTATTTTTGCAGACTTAGTAACATTTAGAAATATCGTCCAACTAAAAATCACAAAAATCTGTTAGGCATTTTAAATTAAAATCTTAAGGCCAATGTTACATATTATACCATGACAATTAGGCTAAAATACTTCAAGTAGCATATTTATCCCCATGAATATAAAAACAATTGAACTTAAAAATATTGATGACTATGGGAATTGTTTCCTAATCTTTTTTTTTTTTTAATTTGCAATCACTACATACTTAAGAACTACAACACTCAGTGAAGTTTCATTAAAAGGACAGTAGTTCAGGCCCAGCAGGCAGGACAGTGCTGAAATGACGCAGAACTCAAGCTTGGGGAATTCATAGAGAATTTAATGACTTTTGTTAATTCAATGTTAAATGAAAATTAATTCCAACCTTGGATGGCTGTGGTGAGAACCACATGAAATAACTACAAAAAACTCCGATGTTTCACAACTGATAGCAGCCACAGTTCGTTAGAATTTCAACTCTAGTACGTTAACTATCAGCATGCTTACAAAGTTTTTTTATGTTAAAAAAGCTTTTAAAAAGAAATTTTATTTAAATAAATTAACCCTTTTCAACCTGAAAACACAGCTTCTGATCTTGATTAATCTCATAATTACTCAGGGAAGCAAACTCCTGGTTTCTTACAAGCCACTATGCTGCCTGATTACTTATACAATTCACAAAAGGGAAACTATACCTTACTTTTGTGCCTATGGCCGTACTAGAACACATTAGCCCACTTTTTTCCATTTTATGAAAACCTGAATTTACAAAACCAAAATTATGAGAGATTCCCATAATAAAATCTTTCTCTAAAGATTCTTCTAGCTCAAGACATCATTACTATACACATTACTAACTGAGGTTGGTAGAAATTGGGGGGAAGGTGGGAGAGGTAGCAATTGTGAACTGTGTGCTAGGAGTTACTAGACATTATCCATCAGGAATTGGTACTTACCAAAAAGCCAATAAGAAAATAAGAATCTCTTTAATAAAAATGTAATTTACATTAAGCTTTCAAAAACAACTATTTTTCAAAGTAAGCTGCTCTGGTTTGAGGTTCTGAACCACAAGGTAATTATTAAGAACAGAAAAAATAAATTCTTAGGTCAGAGAAGCGTTTTGAGAGGGACAGGTAGCTATAAAATAAGATACAAACATGTACATATTAGGCTGAAAGGCTATTTTATTGCAAAAAAAGTGACAAATTTTATCTTTCTCCTGACCTAAACTTGGTGGAAAGCCCACATATTAAAGGAAAGGGGGGAAATGCAGTCCAATAAGGTCTATCTGTAGACCTTACTATTCTAGTAAGAATAGTTGAGACTAAATAAAAAGAAAAACCTGGGCTGGAAAGCATAATTTTTAGGCATCAAATCTGCCTTATCATCCTCTGAACACTTGTCCAATATGAACTATTCAGGGCTGACCAGCAATCTGCCACACTTGGAACAGACACAGTTCCCAGACCAGCTCAGACAGAGCATGTGATCTAAAACAGTGATGATAAAAAGGGAGGGGTGGCAGAGGGCCACCAAGGGGGGGGCAAGGGCCCCAAAACCCCAACGGCACTGATTAGAGTGGAGTTATAATGTTGTTGCCATGTGTTTTTGTTGTTTCAAGGCTAGAAGAAAAAAAAAAAAAAAAAACTCTGTTCATTTGGCAGGATTCCCAGTTGGAACTTCTCCAGAAAGGATTCATATTTGAACTCTTATGTGAATGCCTACCCAAAGGCTGACACAGAACATTGCTTATTAAAGTCAGTATCAACTCATCCAAGGTGGACAAACACTGCGACCAAGATGAGATCTTCTAGCTGAAGATGCCATAAAATAATTTCTTACATGGAAAACCATGTATTAGAAAAGGTACTTATTTTCCAATCATAATTATTCCAGTCTCTTCTATAAAGTTGCTTCTGTGTAGTCTTTTCATATATCAAGACATTTTCTTTCCAATAGTTATTAGAGTCAAATCTATCCAAAGTTAGAAGTTCTTCTTTGTCCTATTAAGCCAACACTATGATGCTGTCTTCTTCTTGTCTGGAAATTCAACAGATGTATGTTCCAACAAAGAAGAGCTTTCTTGCCTTGTCATGGTAGCAAAAAGCATGTCCATCATTCCCAAGGTTTCTAGGAGCTCTCTTTGGTAATCAATCTCTTTTTCTACAAGTCCTTGAAGTAATATAAACTTTTTATCAACTACAGGTGACTGACCAATCACAGGCAGATATATATCTAAAAAGAGAAGGAAACACATAAACTAGAAACACCTTTCTATATATAATAAGTAAAAATCAAGTGTTAGAAAAGTATTAAAATATTAAATACAAAAACACTGAAAAAAATCTGTACTTATTTTATAATCAATTCATTATTACAGAAAGCATAATAATTCATCTAAATAAATGCATTTCATAAAAACATAATTACAGAAACGACAAAGCAGTAGTCTCATTTTCATTTTCCCATTAAAAAATAGTCATGGTCATTTCAGATGTTTATGGAAACATTTCTTTTTAATTTTAATAACCCTAATCCTGTCAATTCTAAGTCATGCTGCTGTGAACTTTACTCCATTTTGAACTGCAATGATATATTATTGATATTTTATCTTCTTCATGAAAATCCTTATTGGACAACTGATAAAAAGCAAAACAAGTAAAATTGCTTGATTTCTAAATTTTTATTTGATCATGATGCCTCTACTTTTTTTGGAGGTGGGAGGGGTAGGTAGTGCTGGGATCAAACACAGAACCTTGCACATGTTAGGCAAGCATGCTACCACTGAGCTATACCCCCAACCCAACACCTCTACTTATGCAACCATGTTAGGATTTTTAAGTTTTAACAACACTTACCAATAATTATTTCAGCAGCATTGATCAAAACAGGGGCAAATCTTGGTTGAGACAAATTCCTACAAAGCAAAACTTCTATTTAATGAAACCTCCAAACTTTTAAAAACTCCCTAAAGCAGATTTAATTGTTCTACCAGTTTCTCACAAAGATCAAACTAAAAATAAATGTCTCTCATTAGGTGTTAAAGAAGGATTTTGATGAAACATACAAATGTTTCATAAACATAAAACATACCTTATCAAAAAATTAAGAACACGACTAATTTCCTTTTCATCCCGACCCGCAAGGGCATTTGCAAGGACTCCTCTTCGATTTAGCTCTTTTATGATGGAAACTGTAACCTCAGGTGTCTTTATTATACAACTAGGCTAGAAAAACATGAGGAGAAAAAATGGGGTTAAAAAAAAAAAAAAAATCACCTTGCTAAATCACCAAGTTTTTTCTACTTCCACAATTCCAAGTCATGGTAATACACAAACCAAATAGTAAAATGATTAAAAAAAAAAAAAAAATGCCCCTTACTCACCTCAAGGACTCTGTCAAGTGCCTTAGAGATCCTAAAATTTTTCAGATCCCTGTCATACAATTCTAGGTGTTTCTTTGTTGGCCTATTGATCAAAATATCATCCTGTATGGAGGAAGAAAATCAGCATATACCAAGTTCCACTCAAAACAAACTTTTTCACAATGAAATAATAATTTTTTTTAATCAGGGTGCCTTTACACTATGTCAGATAATGTTCATATGTCCATAATGATTTGTCAATCAATGTATTCTTACTCTTTTATGATTTTCTACTTACAACTTTCTCAATCCTCTTTACATGGCAGGCAGAATAATAAAACGAGAATCAGAGATATTAAGATCTAGTTCTAACATCTCTGGATACCAGTAATGGAATACTGAATCAATCAAAGCTTTGTGTATTTCAATCTTCTCAGATGCCAAATAGAGACATTATAGGCAGGAGTCATTTAGAAAAGCAAATCAGACAGTGTGTGAAAGACAGTGTTTTGAACACGGTAATGCACTGTATCATTATTACGGTATGGCTCAGAATATTAAATAAAGTAGCCTTTGTTCCCCATTATTACTCAATAATTATTCAATAATGTTCCCAATACAGCAATCTGGAGCCAATTCTAATAAAGCCAAAAGCAAAATAAAGTTAAATACCACGCAAACTACACTTTCCCGTAATAGGCAGGGATGAAATTGGCTACTTTAAGAAATGTCACCTTTTAAAAGATATGAGAAATATATAATTACCCGTTGTTTCATGTAATTTTTTCCTTTAATAAAGGTTCGATATGCAGGCCTTCTTCTTCTTGGAAGAGGATCTTTCTTTGCTTCAGACTTCCGATGTTTAACACTCAATATTCCATTGGTCATTCCTACAACTATTGTCTCATCTTCATGCTAATAGCAATTAGAAATACGTTAGTCTATTTCAGTGTAATAATTTTATAGCACCTTTACTTCAAAATAACACTTATACCATGTTTGCTACTTATGCACACTATCATCAACAGCATCATTCAGACATAGAAACTATAACTAACAATGATCTATGCAAAATGTTAAGAGCAAAATCATTTTTTCCTCTAGGATACCATTAAGTTGATGGCACTTATTATACTTGTAAAATATCACTGGCAAAGTATATATAATAAGACACAGTTAATGGCATCTTAGAAAAGATTCAAAATAATTTTTCTGCATTCTCTGATTAGAAAAAGGATTACACGGTGGCATGACTTTTCACAGTACTGCTTTCCAAAATAGTTTTTAATTAGCTTTTCTGCTCCCAATTCAGATTTTTATATAATGTATTCAAACATACTCCAGCCCAAATGTGGCTCCTTAGAAACCTGATAATGGACATTCCAGAAAAAACAGTCAACAAAGAAAAGAAACTATTCATTTTGCTGCTCCTTTCTGACTTCATGGTATGTGTGTGTATGTATGTGTGTGTGTGTACACATAGAGCCAAAATTGCCTTTCTAAAGTACTGTAATACCCTTGAGTTAAATGTGTTGAAGAGAGATTTATCAACTTTCTAGGTTCAATCCCTGATGTTAATAATGCCCACAACACTGTACTTACTACAGGAGTCATTGGAACCTAAATCTAAATTGATGCTAAGTTATTAGGACAACTCATATTCTAGAACTTGTCTTAACTCAAAGAGCTAATGTGGTTTATTCTAATGCAAAGATAAACCCTAAAATTCCATCTTATCTTCATTTAACAGACAAGGTTAGTGACAGCTTTTAAAAAAAGCTAAAAGTACTTACTGCAAGTGCAAGACTTAAAATTGAAGCTGCATAATCAAAACTGTGGACTACTTTGTAGGAAGTCGTGCTATATACTTTCACCTTCCTAATAAAAAAGAAAGAATTGTCAAAAATCATCTTGAGTATAAAATGCATTCTTCCATTTCAATTCATCTATTGGAAAACTCAATATATGAACATTAAAATTTATATAACAGTTTAGAAAAACAATTCTTCACTGAATCCCTTTAAAAAATGAGCTATATTTCAGCACTGGCCATACATGAATAAAGACTTTGATTAGCCACTTAAAATAGAAACCAAAGGGTAGACCATGAACCACTGTCATTTAAAGATAAAACCTGCAAGTTAAAAAAAAAAAGGAATCCATGAATGTCCACTGCAAGTCAAAAGAACAGAACAGTTTTACAACCTCTTGTTACAGATATTTTGGGTCAGAGAATCATGTTGTGAGGGCTGCTTGTGTGAAGCACAGCTTTAGAACATTAAAAAATGGAATAGTAAATATCTATTTAAAATAGTAATATTTGGATATCAATGATAGAAATGTTCACATGAAGCTTTAAATTTTAAACATCTAGAATAATATACATATTCATAATAAAAACTTCAAAATATATAACTGTATAATGATTTTAAAAGAAAATATAGAATAGATTATTTTAAAAGATTAATGTATTTATTTATTTATCACAAATATTACTAAAATACTTTATTTTCTCAAGCAATAAATACTTGTAAATTAATAAAGATAAACAAGAAAATTAAAATGCCAACCTATCCAGTGAGCCTGAGAGTAACCTCTGTCCAGAGCTGCTCAGACATAAACATGTGACAGTTTTGTGATGATTTTTCAAAGACACGAGCAACTGTCCTTTTAACATGTCCCAAACTTTAACATAGCGACCTCCTATAAAAAGAAATAGTCATGAGTTTGATATTCTACCCATATCAACAACATTTTAAGGAGCTGAAAAACATCCTTCACTAGACATTCCTTAGGGTAGAGGTAGAGTGAGAGGTTCCAGAGCCACACTGCCTGGTTTAAATCCTGGCTCCCCAACCCACGAAGTATGTGACTAAATAATAACACTTCCCACCTTACAGAACTGTCCAGATGCTTAAGAACATTTTAAATTCAGTATCTTTTTTCAACAAAATGTCAAGAAAAAAATCTAGTAGAGAAAATAGAAAAAGGGATGGGGGAGTGAAGCTTTTGTATCATTTGGGGAAACAGGGCTGCAATTCAATCCACAATCCCTACCTTCCTTCTTCAATGTAGCAGTTTATGAGAGGAATCACAGTTTGAAACTAATGATCTAGTCCAATCTCTCATTTTCCAAGTCTAGAGACATTAAGTGACTGCCCAAGGTCACACAACTAGCTAGTGACAATGGCACAGTGCAGATTAGCATATAGGTTTTCATTCTCCTGTTCAACTTGGCCTTATTTCTATTTCTCAAAAAAAAAAAAAAAAAACAGGTACTAGGAAAAAAGAATATAAAACAGGATAAGCTAAAATGAATGGCTGCACACACTACCATGTGTATGCTATGAAGTATCCATACTATCTGTACATTCTTCTAATGTGAACACTTTTTCACTTTTTTTTTTTTTGGTACCAGGAATTGAACCCAGGGGCAATTTACCACTGAGTCACATCCCCATCCCTTTTTATATTTTATTTAGAGATAAAGTCGCTAAGTTGCTTAGGGCCTCTCTTAGTTGCTAAAGCTGGTTTTGAACCCGCAATTCTCCTGCCTCAGCCTCCCAAGCCACTGGGATTATAAGTGTGTGCCAATGCTGCTGACAGATTTCTGCTTTGTTAAGAAATGAATAAAAGTCAAATTATCTCTTCTATTATCATCATAAAAATGGACTAATCAAAAAAATCTTCTGCCCCAATTTGAAGAAAATGCCTGATTCCACATTAGCTCCTCCTCCAGCACTATCAACTACTACTGGGTAAGAACATTTTATCAATAGAGATACATAAAAAGTAACAAGCCTGATTCTAGATCTAAAAGATCCTGTTTTCAAAAGCTGCTATAAATCTCTTATGCAGTAATAACAAAAGGAGAACCCAGTAGATTTCTGGGGTCAAATGACACAGAGTTAAATGCATAATAAGTGTTTTTAATTCTGGGATTTTGGAACTGCCACATATCATTTTGCCTCGGATAATTAGTTGAAACTTTCATTTCATCTCCTTGATTGTAAAGCAGTAAGAAAACTAACAATCCTATATGACTTTTGGAAGGCATTAGAAATAATTTGTATACAACAGCATAGTGCTTGGCTCAAGCTACGCTTTCAATAAATAGCTATTTGCCTGTCCCACTTATCAACTGTTTAAGCAAAAACTTAGATATGTAATCCAAGTACAAACTGAAAAATTATAAATAACAATTGATAAAGAAAAGTTTGATTCAAGAACAATACTGATGAGAGCTATCTTTAAAAGAGATACCTGAAGACACCAGAAGACCTCCAGAGGGGAAAAGCAGCACACTCTCCACTGGCTGCCCATGCTCCACAGAGAGAACACTCTTATTTGTTCGCGCATCAAACATCTTCACGGTATGATCATATGACCCTAAAATATCAATTTTTTGTATTATGTGTGTTTTACCATCTAAAAAAATAAAAACTATACAAGTATATGTGTGTCCAGACATAAATTTTCAAAGGAGATAAACTTTAGATGGAATTTTTTTTAAAAAGCCTACATATATGAACCCGACACAATATTTCTAAATCCTCTGCTACGACTTATTGTTTCTGAAGAAGCAGTATATATTTCTACATAGTATTTAACCTGCTCTGATCTTAAATTATTCCTATCTTCAGACTACTGTCACTGTGGAATCATCTGGGTATCTTTGTACAGAATCTCTTAAAAACTGAACTGCATGTAAAAACACTACAGTGTCTTGGCTGCTAGAAGTTCTCTATATAACAGGAGACTAAACCCATGACAGTTTTGATAGCCTATGTTTTCAAGTCAGCCTGATATTTCTAAGCACATTTAGAGGACAACAGAACAACCACTAAAAGGAAAAAAAGAAAAAACAATTATATAATTAATTTAAAAAATCATTTTTAATGTTTTTTCCCCAATGCTGGGAATTGAACCCAGGGCCTCACACATGCTAGGCAAGCACTCTACCACTGAGCTATACCCCCCAGTCCTATTAAAAAAAAAAAAATTAAACCTCTCTATCCCGAAAGAATCCCACAGCAATAAAATGCAGAGTTCACCAACCTGTTACAAAGAGATCTGGGTTCAGTTTGCTAGCACATCCACATCGTACATAATCAGAATGTTCTTTGAATGTCAGAATTTCTTTCGAGTTTGGAATATCCCATAATTTAACTGTATAATCATCAGCCCCAGAGACCACATGGTATTTGTCAGCTGTAAAATCTACTGTATGAACTGCTCTGAAAGAACAAGAGCCAGTATATTAAAAAGCAAGAAAAAATTATATTTATTATATCTTTAAACATAAAACATTCCTTTTTCAGAGAATATTTATAGAAAGAAATCATGAGAGAAAAAAAAATCTTTTAAAACAGGTATTCGCCCTAAGCCAATTTAAAAATGGTAATACCACTATACTATAAAGTTAATAAGAATATTAAACAACAGTCTTAAAATTGCATTTTCTAGTATGTTAATAATTCTACTTAGTTGCTTAATGAAAATGAGTGTTTTAAATGCTGAAGCTATTGTTTTGCTTCAACAAATAAAACAAAAACATATAAAAACCACTGTCTCTTACTTTGTATGGCCTTCAAACTGTCTGAGGGGAGCCCTGCCGCTTATATCAAAAAGCTGAACTCCACCATCTTCACTGCCGGCCACAAGCAATCTACCATCTTGTCGAAAAGTAGCACAATATGCTGTGTCTTTAAAACGGGAAAAGGTTTTTATAGGTTCTTGGGAGTATCGGCCATAAATGTGAATCTATAAGATAAAAAACAATATTTTTACCAGGGACTCAAGATCAATAGTAAACTAAAAAAAAAAAAAAAAAATTATTATTGTACTTACTCTTGAGGAAGCTGTGACTGCATAGTTATATGGAGGCTGGGGAGAAAAGTCTACTTTTGACACTGCACCAAATTCCTTAATCTGAACAGGGGTCTTCATGAAAAAGAATGCAGAGTATTAACAGAGTTACACCTGGAAAACCTATTTAAGCATTATGTAATTTCTTACAGATAACTTGTTTGTTCTTAATAACATTTATTAGGTTTATCAGATTTTACAAATACAAAAGAATCAAAAAAGGGCAATATCCCATCACCCAGACTATTCTTGTTGCTGCTAACTTAAATAAACATGGCTAGAAAGCCACACTCCATCATCTCTTCAGTTGCTATATGCTGTAATTTCCAACAGAAAAGAAAAAGTAAAAGTAAAGTCTTTACCAGCATACATTTAGCTTTTTTAAAAATTAACACAAACATGACCATACTATGCAGCCAGTTATATACCTTGCTTTTTGTCACTAAATAACCCATCTTAGCAAACTTTCATATAGAAAGCAACAGATTGACTATTCATTATAAGGATATACCAAAATTTATTATAGCAGCTGACTAGTAATAGACACAAGTTTTTCAGGAATTCTTACATATAATACTTTGATAAGTTTACATCTAATATGCATACATATGTATGTATACATATAAATGTTAACATACATATACATAATATATGTATATGCATATATATATACACACACACATACATATATACTTAAACAAACCTTGGGGAGTATATTGATTATGTTTCAAGTTATCAAAGTACAAAGCCAAAGGGTATCTGCATTTTAAAAATCATAACAGATACTTTCAAATTGCCTTCCAAATGTGTACTAATTTCCAAGTAGCCCTCATGACCATTTAATATATTTACTGTATATTTGTATTTTTTTTCCACAAACTGCCCACTCCCAAACTTCTTCCAGTTTCCTATTTAGTTTTTCCATTTTAAAAAATCACTTGTAAGCCTTATTAGAAGATAGAGAACTAATTTCACAGCACTTAGATTTAAAAAAGAAAGAAAATACTTCTCACATATAAGGTTTAAATTCTAAAATTTGTTTCATTTGGTACTGATTAGTCATATATTCTGAGTTAGACCCTTGTACGGATCAAGTAATATAGACTTTTTATAGAATTCCAAGATACAAATAGGTGTCATGTTATCTACCCAAACTATAAGCTGCTCATAGATTGTTTTTAGTTAATGGTCTGTCAGCATACCTAAAGTATAACATATGCAGGAAAAAAATGGATATAAATGCATAAATAAATAAACATAATTCCCCTCCTCCCTCATTATTTCCCATACTTACCTTATAGTTGTTCCAGTACAGAGTATCTTGGGTGATTTTTTCACCAAGTATAGGATATGTTTGAATAGCTACAGGTTTATAACCAGCCATGATTTCATATAATTGCACTATTGTCCAAGGTCAATAATTTAGAGTTGATGTTAGAAATAATTATAGTGACTCTGCTTAACTCTGAAAAAGAAAATATTTTAAAACACATATTATTCATAAACATATGGGTATGATTTTTACTCTGCTTTCTTTCAGAAGGCTGTGTGGAAGTTTATAGATTAAAGACCAATAAACCACTTAATTGTAACCCAGAAGAAATAATCTAAAGGAAACAGGAAGAATATAGGTCAGGTTACCACACTGTACCATCTATTCAGCTGTACATAAGGGCTGTATACAAATGTTCTCACACCTACCTGACCAGTTTGCAATAGTTAGGAATAAATCTGGTGCAGCCTTCTGGTAGTCAAACCAGAAAGAAGCACACTGGCTTCAGGTTTGATCATAGGAAATATGTATTATAACTACAAATACAAAACTTTCTTGAAACTTAAGAAGACATTTAGTCTTTAAGAATAAAGTCCCCAGACTTGACTTCCTGAAAGTCTAAAAATGCCAAGAAGGAAACCAAAGCTAACGATTCTAGTGGAGAAGCTTAATTTTGTAAGGCTTACAATGTATATAGAAGCTTATAATGTAATTTTAAAAGGTTTAAACAGTAAGGAAAAAAAAAACAGAAAAGGCAATTCTAAGTTAAAGTGACAAAATAAGATAAAAATGAACTAAAACCTTTAACATAATCAAGCTAAAACATCTTTCCAGAACTACTCAGTGGCAAAAAAAAGAGACTCAATTCTATCATATCAGATGAATGATTCCAGTGATGCTATTTTCATCTGTTTTGAAAAGCCCCAAAATATGACATTGGTAACATCAAAACAAATAGATATGACATATTTTAAAGGCTATTTTGATAAAACATGGCAATTCATGCCTAAAGGAGAAAATCTTTACTGTTCATTCAAGCACCTATAAAGTGCAGGACACTGTTTCAGGCACTGGGAATAGAGGTGAATATTCTTCATTTGGCTGGTGATTGGCTGCAGCTAGGAATCTAGACTCAGATTTGACTTGTCATCCTCCTCACACCCTAACAGTAAACAAAATCTACTGATTTTAATCTTCCAAATCTTTCTTAAACTTTCTTAAGTCCACTTAACTGCTAGTTCCATTACCCTAATTCAGGTTTTCTCATCTGTGATAATAATGCAACACTGTTCCAAGGTCTCTTTGACCTCCCTCAACCCCATCCATATTTCAAATTTTCAAATATTTGTAAGCAGCTGGCCTTGCTTACAAAACCCAATGCTCTCCAGAAAATAAAGTACAAGCTCCTTAACAGGAGGAACAAGGAACAAGAATGTAAGATCCTCTCTGATTTGGCTCTGGCTTACCTTCTAGCCTCATCTTTTGTTATTACCAATCATTAACTGTTCACTTAACACATCACGCTCATTCTTGCCTCAATGTCTTTGTCACTTGTGCTCTCTGCTAGGAATGTCCTCTACCTACTGCTATTTAATATTTAAGGCTCAACTCAGGAATCAGATCATTCTCCAGGAAACCTATTCTGCCCTCTGAGGAGAGGTCCTGTCTTCTAGGATCCTATTTAGCTCTGAATATTTCTATCTATGCACATAATTCTATTGCATTGGAATGATCTCTTTTCCCTGTTAAGTTGAATTGAAATTTTGAGTCTGAAAGATTTTTTTTTTAAGTGCTCAAAGAATGTTTCTGGAAGAAGAGAAAGGAAGCACTGGGTAAATTTCTATGGGGAAACACAAAATTAAAATTACAAGTACTGTCTTAAAATATGAACACTGCTACAGAGAACCCGTTCACAAACTTTCTGTAAAGGGCCAAATGGTAAATATTTTAGGCTTGGAGGGGCCAACAAGGAAAATTGAAGGAAGGATATTATATAGTTATTTATATAGCAAGTAAGAAAAAAAAGTCCCAAAGTTTTACTAACAATCTTCCCAAAATAATCATCACAATTTTTTTTTTTTTTGGTTTAGAATAAGAACAATAGGATTTTAGGGGGGCAAGGGATAACATTTCGTTTAATTCCAGTTCAAAGTCAGTGCTTCCAACATCAAGGATTGCTTATGCTCATCTATAAAAAGTATTCTTGACTCTCTGAATACACAAATCTGCTCCCTGACTCCCTTCTTTACCTCTCATTACAGTAATAGGAGTACCACTTCTTATCCCTTTCAACAAATAGTTTAAAGTTTTAGTGGAAAGAAGTGAAGTGCTCGGGGCTGGGGATGTGGCTCAAGCGGTAGCGCGCTTGCCTGGCATGCGTGCAGCCTGGTTGGATCCTCAGCACCACATACAAACAAAGATGTTGTGTCCGCCGAAAAACTTTAAAAAATAAATAAAAATTCTCTCTCTTAAAAAAAAAAAAAAGAAGTGAAGTGCTATAGCAGTGGTTTGACATTACAAAATGAGGAGCAGTAGTGGAGAGCAGGGATGTGGGTGGTGGGGAGACACAGTGCAAAAAGCCTGAGGCAAAAAATTGTGTGAAAATAAAGAGAAGGAGAATGATTCGGCCTAAGTCAAGATCTAAATGAATAACAAGTACTATTGCAATAGAATGCTATCAAATAAAATGCTATGAGTAACAACCAGGGTACTGAGAGCTCCGAAGAAAAGTTTTAATTCTACATGGAAAGAGTGTATCATTGCACCTGGGCATTAAAGTATAACATTAGCCCGTCTTCGCCACTTACGACAGGCACAAGCAGAAGGCGGTGCAGAAGAGGAAATTCGGGGTCATTAGAAACTGAGGGAAACTTCTAAGCAAAGAAAGATGGAATTCTGCCCATTGCCTTGAAGGGGTGAGGATTATTCCGGAAGCTGATAAATGGACAAGAGAGAAGGTGACTGTAGCGCAGCAAAATCTGGGTCTAAATTCAATTGCCGGGATCTTGAAAAGCCGGTTAGGAAGTTTAACCATCTCCAGAGCATGCCAGAAACCACAGGGAGGCCTGATGACAGTCCGGGTTACCTTCACAGGAGCCGCCTTCACCTACCTCCACTGAGACCCAAGGATCCGCCGAGGTACCCCGCTTCCAAGGATAAGTTTTCTGACTTCTCCAGCGCCCAGCACCGGACCGTTCTGAATCCACCTGAGCAAAGTCACGCGGCCATCCACTGCCCAGTCGGCACACACCAAGAAGAGAACGTCGCGCGAAGATGACGTAACGGCGCATGCTCAGAAGACTTACGCAGCCCGGATGACGCGAGGCCGGGGCGGGTGGGCGGGGCAACCAGACAGGAGGCGTAGCCGGGCGTGTAGACTGCGGCCTTCCCCTGGTGACCCAGAGCTGTCAACCGAAGTGATCCTGTCTCTGTGGTACTCGGACAGGACGGACCGCGGGGGCGGCCATAACCAACCAAACAAAAAACACCTGGAAGTCGTCTCGGCTGCAGGCTTTTTTTTGCCAGAAGACGAAAGAAAAAAAATCGGAAGTGACGTCGTGGCCAAAACAACCCGGGCCTGCACCGAGTCCGTGGCCTCCTCGAAGGTGATCGCGAGTCGCCTCGCGCCCACCCTGTGAGCCTCCAACCTCTCCAGGCCGAGAGTGAGCGAGTTTCCGCCTGGGACATTTCGAGCACAGCTGGGCAGCGGCGACGGAGCGGACTTCCCACTCTACAGGTCTCCCCTCCACGGGGCTCCTGTTCCGAGACGCTGGGATACCTGTCGCCTGTGAGGCATCATTTATTTTCATAGCACCTTCCTCTCCTTTTAGGACAATTTCGGGATTGGGAAGAATCGGGGGCTCCTACTATTAGCTTCCACTAGGACTAGCACGGGTGCCCCCTTGCCCCCTTATACTCTTTCCCTGCATTCCTGGGCTATGACAGATCGACTACAAGGCTCTCCTTTTCTCACCACTCTCTCCACTTCTCTGTCGTCTATTTCTCCCTCCTCCCATTCAGAAATTTGACTTGCCAGTCAATTTTGCAGCTTCTCCAGAGTGGGGCCGAGATAAGCATTGTTTCCATCCTCCTCCCCTAAACACATTTGCTGGATCTCCTCCAAAAACTGGTAATTCCATCTGTAAACCCTGATTTATAACATACAAGCTCTTTAGAGCTGAGAAGACTATTAGAGATGCTTATTTCAACACCTTCATTCTGTAGATGATTGATTTTCAGAAAATTTATATGATTCATGTATCCAGGGTTGCACAGCTTATTAGTTGATGTTGGGAATGGAAAGCAAGATCTCATCAGCAAATATTAGACACAGAAAAGAATGTTTTAAAATGTGAAGTTCATTGGACTGGGGCTGGGGCTCAGAGGGAGAGCACTTGCCTAGCATGTGTGAGGCACTGGGTTCCATCCTCAGCACCCCATAAAGTAAAATAAAGACATTGTGTCCACCTATAACTAAAAAATAAATATTTTATAAAAAAATGTTGAAGTTCAAATCAGAAAACATGTATGGAGCACCTGGTAGAATCAAGTACTGTTTCATGTGAAAAGATTAGTAAAGAGTTGTCCCCATCCTAGAGTTTTCAACTTAGTGGGGGCTTAAAGGGAATTTTCAAGAGAATGGCAAATGCTGAAAATATATACAGAGTGCTAAGAGTCTAGGGAAATTGCATTTAGCCTCCCTTTGGGTTGAAGAAGGAAGGAAATCATTCTTCTCTCAGGAAACAGTTCACTTATGCACTCATCTTTTAAGTACCCACAGACTTCTTGCATTGTTAAGAATACAAGATGAATCCATGTCCATTTGAGTCACCAAACTAATTGTTCTGGTGTCCTTCTTTGCTTTTGCTAAAATGTACTAACTTTATTCCTGGATTTTTTTCCTGACTGTATATTATTCTTCAACTCCCCCTCTCATGAAACTTTTGGATTTAGTGCTGCTTTTTATTTAATGGTCAGGGTGAAGGAGTCAATAGAACTGGATAGGTTTCCCTTAAGTCATGAGCTTCCTTTTTCTCCCCTCTGCCTATTGGAAGGATTGTTATAAGGATCAACCTTTGAAAATATCTTTAAAACTGTAAGCAGTTGGTTATCTGGAAATGTGTGATTTGCAAAACCCTGCTTCACTATGATCCTAATGCATTTTTCTCTTTTAATTCCATTTTAAAATTCATTGAACCCTCTCAAAATCTCTAAGAGGCAATAAACTCTAACATGGAAAAAATTGTATGTTTTCTTGTCTCAAATGATTACATATCTGGGATAGCTATTTATTTTTGGAAGCCAATCCATAATCTACACACTTTACTTGTCATTTTTAAAAACCTGTATTAAGTTGCTAATGCTTAATCTAAACAAAAACTTAGAAATACCCCTTTAAGTTTATTAAAACTAAAGCTGTGTAGGGTCTTTCACTAAGAAACACAGGTGTTATAGACGACAATGCAAAGAAACTTGGCTATAACATAAGTTACATTTTTCTTTAAATTCAAACCAAGAGCCACTTATATAAACATGTTTTTTAAAATATGAACCTTAAGTAAGAGGTTAAAGTTTTAATATGAAAGTTTATTTTTATTGGTAGCCTTATCTTTTATCTACTTGGCAATATTCAGATATAGGAAGGAAGAGAAACAGTGACTAAAATTTGTTGGAATGGAGGATAGAAGTGATAATGTTTCTGTATTTCATTTGCTCTTTATCAGGATCATATAAAGTTAATGGTGGTATCCCTATTTTATAAATGAGTTTGAGGTTCAGAAAAGTTCAATAACTTGTACAGTGACAAAGTTTATAAGTGAAGTGCTGAAGCTTGGATATATACCCAGATTTCTGTATCTTTGCACATTGTACTCTATTAGGTTTAGGTGCTTCTAAGAGCACTGTTTGTATGCTTCATTGAAAATAATTATTTTGTGCTCTTTTACTAAATTGATATAACACTTCTAATTTTCTAATTTCTTTTCTTTCAGGTTTTTCAATATCAAAATTCTAGAATACACTGGATACTGCTCTAAAACCAAGAAGAAATGCTTTAATTATTGAACTATAGTTGAAATCATGGCTACATCAGCAAATCTGGATATTGGTGCCCAATTGATAGTAGAAGAGTGTCCCAGCAGTTATAGTCTCTCTGGCATGCCAGACATTAAAATAGAACACCCACTGGATCCAAATTCAGAAGAAGGATCAGCTCAGGGTGTTGCCATGGGAATGAAATTCATATTGCCTAATCGATTTGATATGAACGTGTGTTCTCGATTTGTGAAGTCCTTAAATGAAGAAGATAGTAAAAACATTCAAGATCAGGTTAACTCTGACCTGGAGGTGGCATCTGTCCTATTTAAAGGTTGAAAGTTATGGTATAAATATCTGCATTTGTTTTTGTTTATTTGAGTTTTGTGTATTTCCACCATAGGAAATACAAAAATACAAATATTTAGGAAGTTTGGAAATCATATTTTAATAGGATTTTCTGACCTCACAGAAACCAAATTTAAATAATTTCATGCTATGTAATGTCTATGTTAAAGGCAGTACATGTTGATTTTTAAAAATTTTTTTATCTAATCTTCATTTACATATTCTCTAGTGAATCTTTTTATTATACCTTTTTAAATCATAGAAAAAAATTCCTTGTTTCTTTTCTAAATTAATTAGTTAAATATTCCTTGTTCCCTGAATATCTAATTTGCACTAACTTCCAATGCTTTAATTCAATAAAGTCTGTCAACATGCTTTAGATTTACCTTTATAATGATCTATTGAATAATAAAACTAATCTCCTAAAATAAGAGATTGATACTTCTTTTTCTGGAATTTTCACTATGGTAATATTGACTTTATGACAAAAATTTTAATATCACGTGAGAGATAGTTGTGAGAAATTCATATGCCTCATGCATTTTTTAATTGTATTGTTTTAATGTACACTTATTTCACTTAGCTGAATGCAATATCCATACATCTCCTTCTCCTGGAATTCAAGTAAGGCATGTCTACACTCCCTCTACAACAAAGCATTTCTCACCCATAAAACAGTCAACTACTTTAACCAACAAACACAGAGGAAACGAGGTCTCTACCACACCTCTTTTAGCAAATTGTAAGTACTTGTAGCTAATGTACTAAAATATTCTAGTATAGGAATTTTAAGAATTTGGCTTTCATATGCATTTATTTTCATTAAATGCATATTCTCTTGTTGAAAGGTTATGCAATATCCTAATAGTTTTAGTGATTTAAAACTTTATAATATACTATTACATATTTAAATATTTAATGTTACGTTTCTGTGTTGAGAACAAATACAGATTGAAATATTAAAATCTTTAATTTTTACTACAGAAATAATGAGTTATTTTAAACATTTTGCAAATTAATTTTGCATATTAATTGCCAATATTTTTGTGCTCTTGGAGTACAATGCTTGTTTTACTTATAAACCAAATCATTGCTCAACAAATGATTTTGCAAAAAAGCCAAGTGATTTATGATAATATAAAGTATAAATGTTATATTTGAATACAAGAATATGAATGTGAAACCTACGTTTTTTAAAACTTTGAATTAACAATTTTTAAAATTGTAGAATCATTGTAGAGGAAAATAAGGTTTTTCTATTCAGACCAAAAAGTATTCTGTACAGTATGGATGTGTGAATGAAAGAAAATCGGCAATTTAATGTTAGTAACTGTATTTGAGACTGTGACATAAATATATATATATATATATATATATATATATATATATATATATATATTCTAAAGCCTATTGAAATCTTTATTTTTGCTTTGGAAATACTAAATCCCTCCTGATTTCTGAATCACATGTTGTGGCAGTTAAGTCATAAAACCTTCCTCTGGAACTCTCCTTCTACCTATTGACTGTTTCTGGTTTATTTAAATAAAGTTGTATGTAACTCCCTGTTACTTTCCTTTGAATATTAAAGCTATCTGATCATATCACTGAAGTCAATGATCAAGCAATACTAATTTTTTAGGAGAACTCTCAAAATACAATGTCTTTTTGTTACTGCTCTAAAATGAAGAGATTCCCTTAAAATATTCCAACTGGAGTATTTTTGAAATCCTGAAAAGAAATGAATAATAGTGATCATCTGGATCACATCCTTCATGTTACAAATAAAAATATGTAATTGGTTTTGTAAGAATATGTTCTCAAGGCCAGTTTTGCTTTTATGACCT